ATTATGGATATCTATGGCTGCTGACGTCAGAGGTTCCCAGCTCTGAGCAGAAACTCGCCTGTTTTGCAGAGTGTGGTGAGACAAGAGGCGCGCGGGTCGGTGGAAACTTTCTCCTGCATGATCCCATCGGGTCCCCGGTGCAGCCCACCCCCAGCCCCCCATCATTAAACGCGGTGACCCACTCTGGATTACTCACCTTGGAGAAAAAGCGGAGCTTTTTGAAGCAAAAGTGCGTCTGGATCGCTGTTATTTCTGCTCAGCGCAGTTTCCGGATATTTGTGCTTACTGTTTTTGGGAATTTTTTTCAATGTTTATCTTTTAAATTACAAACAAAACCAAAGAAAAAAAAAACTTTGTCGTATCCTACCGCACCAGCCATAACATGGACACATTTAGACAAGGTGAGAGTTTTGTTTTGCTTTTGATCACTTCTTTATTCTTCCTTATTTAGTTAAATTAACCACCTGAACACTTGAATATATTTGAAGTTATTCTTTGTGATCAATGCTGTTGGATGAATGTTTGCACTGGCAGCAAACTTCCAAAGCAGCTCTTCTTGTAAGTGGAAACTATTGGACTCCATTTGCTTTCAATGCAATTGTTTGAGTGATTGAGTTTGAATCGAGACAAGCCCACAATGATGCTTCACAGACTAAACAGTGTTTTTGTTTGTTTGGTTTGCTAAAAAAAACGTGTACCTCTCTGCACAAATATCCCATCTGCCTTCAATGGCATTACTCTGTTGGCTGCAGATCCTTCTGAGCTTCATTCTGCTCCCCTTTCCTGTTTCATTGTCACTTCCAAGAAGTCTTGATTCAGCATCCTGACAGTGTTGGGGAGTCTGGAAAAACATGGAGCATGAATAAAACAAGTGTATTGAAAAACAGCTGTATTTGCAGACTTGATTTCCTTTGCAATTGTCCAGAAGTTGCACCCAGCTTTGAGTCGGACCCTTCATCCATTCATGCATATTTAATATCATGCAAATATCTACTTGTTTGTCCGGAGGAGGATTAGGGCCACTGAAAAAATTAAAAAAGCTTAACAGATTTTTAAATTTTATCTCAATATAATGTGAGAAAAAAAGTCAGAATTCTGAGATTAAAGTCAGAATTCTGAGATTAAAGTCAGAATTCTGACTTTCTTCCTATATTAAACTGAAATATTATTTAAAAATCAGTTAACTTTTTTTC